AATATTATGAATTATTATTATTTTTATTATTATTATTATTACATTTAAAATCCTTTAAATTTAACAGTATTCAAAACCGAACAGGAATGAAAAATATAATAAGTATAAATTAGTAAAATAATATGAATTATTATTATTATTATTATTGTCATATTAAATGGGTTCCATAAAAACCACAGGTTAACTTTCTGTTATGATGGTGTTGTGTTGGACTCAGGCCGGGTTTGCAAACTGTGTGTGTGTTTTCTGTGTCTAACAGCAGACGGTTTCTCATCATGTTCATCCAGGCCCTGTTTTAGGTTGCCAGTTATCTGACAGTTTATTAATAAAATAACTTAAACTAAACTGAAATAAAAATGAATAAAAAATTACATAGACATAAAAAAACACTAATAAAAATGACAAAAAACACAGCAAAATTACTAAAACTTTAACTGGTATTAAAATGAAAACCAAAAATATATTTCAAAATGCTAATAAAACTATAGTAGTATATCAGTGATACTAAAATAACACTGGGAGGCATTCATTATAAACATAATTTATTATAATCGTTCCTCTCTCATTCGACATCAGTGCAAATTAATGTGTTTGTATGTTTTTTGACATGAATTTTATTATTTAAGTCACTTGAACTGAAAATAAAGTGTAGCTTGAATGCGATGCGAGTCACTTTATATAAAAGCATCTGTCGAATGCATGAATAATGAATGATTCCACTGCTGTTATGAATGAGCGTGTGTGTTAATGTCTCCGCAGCGTGACGGCGTCGAACGGCCTGAGCACCATCTCTCACGAGTATCTGAAGAGCAGCTACGCTCTGGATCTGGAGGCTGTCAAGCAGGGAGCAAACAGCCTTCCTCACCTCAACAAGACGCTGGTGGCGTCCTGCAAACGCCTGCATGGGTACACACTGCAGCTGCCGCTTGAACACGCTCGTCTGCTGACATTAATTATGGAAATGATTCCACTGATCCAGCGTCTGATGAGCGTGATGCAGGACGACTCACTGATGCGTGATGGAGTCTATTAGAATGCAGTCATATGAGTCTAAACTTCAAGTTATATTTATATCACAAGCAATATCACACCAGCAAGAGTTCTGATTCTCCCCAATATCTGCACCACTGCAATAATGCCATATTGATTTATACAACAGTTCAATAAACAAGAAGTTAATACGGTTACATTTTAGACACAATATTGTCTGTTTTGGCTCAGTTTCGCAAATGAAAATAGTTCCAGTCAAAGCCACAGCAAAACTGATGAGCGTCTGTGATCAACACACAGCAGTGATTCATTACTGAATGAATCCACGGTTTTGAACAAATCAAATGAGTCAATGATTCAATGACCCATTCATAGATTCGTTACTGCACGAATCCATGGTTTTGAATGAATCGAGTGAGTCAACAATTCAGTGACTCATTCATAAAGGCAGTCAATTGCTTCGTTTCTGAATGAATCAGTCGTTTGAATGAATCGAGTGAGTCAATGATTCAGTGACTCATTCATAAAGACATGCTACTTCTCGGAATGATTCAGCCGTTTGAACTAATTAAGTGAGCCAGTGATTCAGAGACACATTCATAAAGGCAGCCACTTGCTTCGTTTCTGTATGAATCAGTCGTTTGAATTAATTGAGTGAGTCAATGATTCAGTGACTCATTCATAAAGGCAGTCAGTTTCTTAGTTTCTAAATGAATCAGTCGTTTGAATGAATTGAGTGAGCCATTGATTCAGAGACTCATTCATAAAGGCAGTCAATTGCTTAGTTTCTAAATGAATTAGTCGTTTGAATGAATCGAGTGAGCCATTGATTCAGTGACTCATTTATAAAGACAGTCACTTGCTTCGTTTCTGAATGAATCAGTTGTTTCAGTGAATCAGTTAAATGAATGTTTCAGTGACTCACCCATGAAGACAGTGACTTTTAGTTTCATATTTAGAGTATAATTTCATTTTTTAATAATTTCATATTTCAGTATACATTTTTTTAAAACATTTACTATCATTTACTCATTTATTATTATTGTTATATCAAAATATTTCAGCTACTGAAGCTACTTTTCTGTATTCAGTGCTTTCCTCATGTAACACAATAATGTCTTTGATTGATCTTTTGAGGGGTAATATCTCAGCCCAAATTGATGTGTTACATTTGCAATTAATTAGATGAATTAGCATTAGTGTGAGCCCTAGCACACACACACATGCACACAAACGCGTTCATTCATATGTACAAACAGTATTCTCTGTGTGTGTGTGTGTGTGTGTGTGTGTGTGTGTAGGGAGGTGGATAAAGTCCTGTGCGGTCTGGAGATCCTGTCGAAGGTCTTTGATCAGCAGAGCGCCTCTATGGTGTCCAGAATGATCCAGCAGGTGTGACATCACTTCCTGAGGGTTTGATGTGTGGCTCATTATGTCTGTGATTCACACTAGTAGATCTGATTCATTCATTCAGACGGTTTATAGTATTGCATTATGGATTTTTGAGCTTGTGTGTTTGTGTTTCTGGTGTTTGTTGATTCTGTTTTATGTGATTAGTGAGTAACTCTGTGCTTGTGTAATAAATGTGAGTCACTTTAGATAAAAGCGTCTGCTAATCTGCTAAATGTCTCTGAGTTGCGTAATCTCTGTCTGTAGACCATGTCTCAGGGTGGAGATCAAGAGCTGGAGCATCTGGTCACTAAACTGGCAATCCTCAAAGATCTGTTGTCATCTATAGAGAAGAAGGTAAACACACACACACACACACACTCTCACTCACACACACACAACAGACACTCACACACTCTCACACACACACACACACACACACACACTCTCACACACACACACCTCACACACACACACACACACACACACACACACACACACACACAGCTAAATACATCAGACGTATCAATAGTTCCATCACATGCTATTTTAGAGCCTTTAGAGCCATGGCTGCTCCTAAATTTCTGTATTTCAAAGTATGTACTTAGTTTGATGGAAAACTCACATAACTCACATC